CCGCGTCACCGACGCAACACGTGCAATCACCCGCGTCACCGACGCGACACTGTAACCGCTTGCCGTCATCGACGCAACACGTGTAACCTCCATGTAATCTCTTTCAGGTCGAACAGGAAAAGAAGCTTGGACTCGCCCAGGCGACGGCGCCGCGCAAATACTGGGACGCCTACGATCCTACGCTCATCTCCGAGGGTCTATTCGCCGCTGCCAACATCTTCAGCTCCCTGAAACTCGTCTACATCTTCACGGTGAATCCGTACCTCGGACCGCTGCAGATCTCGCTCGGCCGCATGGTGTACGACATCATGAAGTTCGCCTGCATTCTCATGCCTAGTTTGTGTTTGGCGTTCGCCGGTGCGGACTGACGCGCAGCTCTACTGGTACGGTACGCGACGAATCTCGTGCCGACGAGTGCAGGCAACGCGTGCAGGGCGGTCGGCAGAGAAATACAAGAGCTTCCTAAAGTGAGTACGCGTGCGTGCGTTGTGTGCGTGCGTGTGTGCCGGCGGTGCGCGTGCCGTGCGTGCGTGCGTGACGTGCGTGCGTGCCGTGCGTGCGCTGCGGCGTGCAAGAAGGAGTCAACAAGAGCTTCCTCAAGTGATTACGCGTGCGTGTTGTCATAGCGTGCGTGCGTGCGTGCGTGGCAATGCGTCGTAGCGTGCGGCGTATGTGTGTGCGTGTGTCGTGTGTGGCTGTTCAGTGTGCAATCCTATGAGTGTGATAGACAGGTAGATCTATGAGTGTGATAAGCAGGTAGATCTATGAGTGTGATAGCCAGGTAGATCTATGAGTGTGATAAGCAGGTAGATCTATGAGTGTGATAGCCAGGTAGATCTATGAGTGTGATAAGCAGGTAGAACTATGAGTGTGATAAGCAGGTAGAACTGAGTGCAGTAAGCCAGTACGTTCATCAACGGGACATGTCTGCCAGAAGATTCCTACGGTAAGTTTGAGTTCGCTCTTCATCTTCCTGTTGCTGATAAGCATGACTATGCACTGCGCATGAGCAAGCCAGCAGCTATGGGGAGCCCCTACCATACCACCCCCGCATCTTCAAACCTCGCTTTTCCTTCCGTTCTTTCTCCATTCCTCCGTCTCTGTTTCTCTCCCTTCGCCTCTATCTCTCGTTTTTTTCTCTCTCCCTAGCCTCTTTCTTCATCCCCGCTCGCATCTCTCTCATTCTCTCTTTGCACCTCTTCTTCAGCAGTTTGCCTCTGCTATTTTATGCAAGTTTAACCGCGGTGGTATGACAGCTACTAAGTTCCACCATTCATTTATTTTTCTTTGCTTTGTTTTTCAGAGTGCAGAATGGCAGCACCAGTCGCTTGTTCGGCCATTCTTCTTATTTCAGGGCCACCAGCTAATTACTAATTACGTTTCCTTTGTTACTAGTTACCTAGATGACTGCGTGAAGATTTAATCCCTGTTTGTGTTTTCATATGTATAAGCTGTAGATATTTGTCCGCATCTATATAACGTTGTGACGCGCCCGGTGGCTGTTTACGTGCGATGGCTTCTCTCTCTGCATGAGCTTCTCCTTTGCCTTTACAGCTTGTTTGAAAGCTTGCAAACCCTCTATTGGGGTCTGTACGGGCTCGTCGACCTAGTGACCTTTGACCTCGAAGAGAACCACGAGTATACGGAATTCGTGGGCCTTCTGATGTTCGGTGTATATTCGGCCATCTCCATGGTTGTGCTACTGAACATGCTCATTGCAATGATGAGCAATTCCTACCAGTACATAGCGGTAAGTGAGTGACTCGTGTGTGTCGCTCTTGCAGCCATGCAGTCAGGAGTGAATAATATCAGCATGTTCTGCTAGCATCTATGACAAATACGACATACGCATATACGCTCTCCTATGACACTATTTGTCATAGGAAGAATCTTCCTATGACAAATACGACATACGCATATACGCTCTCCTATGACACTATTTGTCATAGGAAGATTCTTCCTATGACAAATATTGTTGTATGTGTTGTGTGCATCATAGGCGTTTAGGAGCGCTATTATGAACGCAAGCAATAAATTTCAGCTGTAAAGCGGAACGAAGTTGACTCGCCAATATTTGTCATAGGAAGAATCTTTCTATGACAAATAGTGTCATAGGAGAGCGTATATACGTATGTCGTATTTGTCATAGATGCTAGCAGAACATGTTGATAATATACACTATAATAGTGCTTCTTAAACTGGTGAATAGTTCACCCAGTTCTAGTGAATGAAACTAGACCTAAAACATAAGGAAATTTAGTCGCTGGTGAATGAAATTTCGTATTAAATACTCAAGGGTGAATGAAATAATTTTGCGTTGAATGAAAATGGGGCAAAAACATAAGGAAATTTAGTCGCGGGTAAATGAAATTTTGTGATAAAGACTCGAGGGTGAATGACACTGAAACAGTTTAAGAAGCACTGCACTATAATATACTAATAATATATTATGGCACTCCTGATGTATAATGTCACCAGGGGTTAATAATGACAAAATGTGACAGAATTTATAATTATTAACCCCATGATGTCACGTAACCACCACACCAGGGATTTTCACTCTAATCGAGAGATAATTGATTCCTCGTTCGACCACGCTCCATCTGGCAAATACATGGCGATGTGTCTATTGAGCATATAGTATATAGTATAGCAAACGGCTGTAGGGTGTCTCCAAATTCTCTAATGAGGTAAGTGCCCACGTGCTATTCTTCTAAAATTAGCAAGGAAAAGAAGGTAGGTTACCCGTCAAACGATTAGCATTATGTCTAGTTGAGTCATCGTTATTACTATAATCTCCAGTCAAAATAATTCTGCCTGTAAATACTGACATTGTTCGTTGTTGGGGGAGAGTTTCGATATAACACACCTACAACCGTCGATATTATTTTCTATCAGACTTTTTGCCTGCTTAATATATTAATGAAATATGAATACCAAAGCCCATCTTGAAATTTGCCGGTGCGTGTTTGCTTGCGTTCGTGATCTATCCCATCGCTTGTGCTTGCCCCTGGAAATAATGATATTAAGTGCGCTATCTTCAGGGCTATCTGGCATGGTGCACACATTTAGTTTGTAATTAACGTGTTATTCAAATTATCTCTCGATTCTTCGTGAGCAGTAAAAATGTCTTAGTATAATTAGTGCATGGTCATTTATCTTTCATTAAAGCCAATTACAAACTTACCGTGTGTGATATGCCCCAGCAAAACCAGATAGCGTAATCACCGCTAGGGGGCAGCACGAACCGTGGACAACATAGAAATAATAATAATTATAGATAACCTATCTATATGGTTATCTATATTATTTCTATGGTGGACAGTCTCCCATAACACCCACTGACAATAATTTAAATCTGATTTTTTAGCTTATTGCTCGTCAATACTGAACAATAATACGCATCATTCAGTATAAATAAAGCGCAGATTCTCTTATAATGCTGACGACAGCTAAATTCGTTTCATTCGTGTTTCATAGGGTAATCAATTTAACGTCCGCGTTGCACAGTGCTTCTCTAACAACGAATTGAACAAAAAATGTCTAACGGCTTTAATGCAACGATCGACGGAGATCTGTACGAATTTATCACGCAATTCCGCTCGCAGCAAATCTCTGAAAGTTCTAGTTTACTGTTTAATCAATAATGGGTCATCGATAACTGGAGCGTTAACTCGCGTTCAATTTTCTCTCAGCTTTCTGTAATTATCCGCTGCAAATCCCTATCGATAAACCACTCGCTGTTCGCTCCCGATATTAACAGATATCGTAGTTTATGAAAATTTCCGCAACGAAATATACACTAGTATCAAAACGAAACTATCAAGATCGAATAATACACGTGTTGTTAGTTCTTGAAATAATGACATGCAATTATAATATAGGGACCCGTGGTTCTTTTTACGGAGCGAATTTTTCGCCCCATGATCGCGCAATTGATCCAACGATGGGATCGCGTCTCAGTGCTGACTCGTGGCGTTCGTGTGTGTGCAGAACTACGCCGATATCGAGTGGAAGTTTGCGCGCTCCAAGCTGTGGATGTCCTACTTCGAGGAAGGCGGGACGATGCCTCCGCCCTTCAATATCATCCCGAGTCCAAAGTCAGCGTACTACCTGGGACGCTGGATCTACCAGAAGATCTGCAGCTTCTCGATACGACAGAAACGCACAAAGTGGAAAAGCTTACGGGTAAGAGAGAAATAGAAAGAGAGAGAGAGTGTGTGTGAGAGAGAGAGAGTGTGTGAGAGAGAGAGAGAAAGAGAGAGAGAGAGTGAGAGAAAGAGGCAGAGAGAGAGGGTAGATGTTTTTTTCCTCGCGAGCATGGTATGGCAAGCTTATGTACTCGTGTACCTGCAACATGGCTACTTGTAACCACAGAGAGTGATACTGGAGCAACCGGTCGCATGGAGACGTACGACACCCATGCGACGCTGGGTGAGTCCCCCTCTCCTCCTCCTCCTCTCCTCCCAGCTGTTAGCTACATAATCAGCGGTTCTTAACCTGGGGGTCGTGACCCCATGGGGGTCGTTTGGGGTTTTTCCAGGGGTCATAAATGAAACAAATCCATTTAAATTCTATATATAATTATCAGGGTG